ACTCCCGCTGATGTCTAAGGCTAAGGGGAGGGGATACAGAGAACAAGACTACATAGGAGATCACTTGTTGCTGGCTGCTCCTGAATCCCAGAGGGTGGCTCTGCCTGCCAATGTCAAAGCAAAGCCAAAGCCAAGTGTGATAACAGGCAGACACATTTCTCTTTGTCTTAAAGGAGATATGGGTACAACACACAGTCTGTGGTGTTTGAACCAAAATTTCCATAGTTTATTAATTTCTCACAATTCTTTGGTGTCCCCAGATGCAGCTTATTGAAGAAAAAAAGCAGATTTAAGGTATAACCTTAAAGATGAATACAACTAGAGTGAGATAACTTTTATTCAAGAGAAATCAATGAAAGCTTGCATGAAAGAAATATAACACTGAAGCAGGACAGAAGAAAAGCAAGTATTACCAAGAAACATGAGGGGATCTTGGAATGAAGACATAAAGAGATTAAAAATAAAAATGAGTACTTCATCCCAACTAAGAACAAGACTAAATATCGTGGTTTCTTTTCATTCTGTTAATAAAGCCAGAGAGAGAGACACCAAAGAGAATCCTTGCATAATTTAAAATTCAGACTTCTTCAAAACTAAGTAGTTTGAATGTCACTTCAAGCCTGTTCCTGCCTGTGTGTATCATCACAGGTGATGAAGCTTAGCTCAGCTATGGTAGCTGGAGAAGACAGTGTTCCCAGACTCAGCATAGCATAGAAAAAAAGTCCAGAAACAGGCCCCACAAATAGGGGGCCCTTATAGCAGCAAGCAGTAGTTCCTTCAGCCTCTCTCTAGACCTTCTCACCAAAGAGAAGTTAACATAATCGTGAGATTTAAGAAAACAGGAAAGTAATCCCCATTTTGCTACTTTAGAAAAACCTTTAACTTGCACATTTCTATCCTTGTAGAAAGGAAATAATTTTAATTTCCCTCTGAATCTTCAAGAAGCATCACATTTAAAAACAAATAAAATTAATAAAAGCAAACCTTTACAATGCTTATCTTCTCTTTCTGCATACTTAGTCAAAATCTCCTTGGTTTTTTTGGGTGGGAGAGGGGGAACCAAAAAACTTCACTACTGACTATTAGCATTTAATTTCTTTTTAATATTAATAAAGGGGAAAGTAGAAGACTACAATTAGTTTGTGATCACCAAGAATTCACAATTTCTGCCAAAAGCAAGAGCACATGATGATTTTAATTAACCTCTTCAACTTAATTAATGATAAAACACAACTTCTTTTAGGCTTTAGAACAAATGAATGGTGGACTTCATTTCTACATTTGCCAAAACTCCAAAGGACAGAGAGGGTTTGAACCTGGCAGGCAAGAAGAGTTTATTTCCCTGAGCCACATTGTGGCACAACCTGTAACTTCAGAGACTGGCTGGGCCATCCAGTCCTAAGAGCCCCGCAATTATGGAGCATAGCTTGCAAACACTCTCAATGCTACACAATTCAACTGCAGGGCTGGCCCTCAGGACACCTAGAAAGAGAGGCTTCAAGCACTGTGACTGTAGCTTAATGAGGGCTTACACCTGCCACAGAAAATGCTTGTCTTGTCCCCTACTGTAAATATCACACTGCCATTCCCATGGACCAAGCCAGAAAACAAAGCTAAGGGCTCTAGACACAGAGGCCAGCCAGACTTGCTGGCTGAGCCTCGTGCTGTGACCCCATGCTGTCATCTGCAGCTGCCTCTCTTCCACTTGGAGGTGCTCTGAGTTCAAGCTACAAGCCACTGCCAAAATTCTGTCAGGGCTGCAGGCTGGAGAAGCTGGAGAGGAGACACTGTACCTACCAGTTCTACTTGCGAGCAGGGCTTCCTGACTGCCCAGCACTGGCATAAAGGTGTGGCAAGTTTCCCAAGGTGGAGCTTAAAAGACCTGAATCGAGCAGCAAAAGACCTGCCACTTTATTTCCAGACACCATGACCATATATACAAAAGGACTCACTCCAACTAAAATCTGAGTAGGAAAATGCATTTCTTGGATGAAGCACTTGATCCTCTCGGATTGCTGGGACTAGCCTTTGAACAGCCAACTAGATAGACCAGGGGCCAGGACTGTTGTTCAAAACAGCAGCCATTAGCATATTAAATAAAACTAAAAACGTGGATCCTCAATCACACTAGCAAATATAGAACATTTCTGTCCTGTTATTGAGTGCTGGTCCACTAGGTATTGAAAGGAACATACCTGGCATGTTCTCTTAAGAATTTTCACTTTTCTAACCCAACTATCTCAAGTGGGGGGAGAAGTGTTCTAACTGTAAATGCAGTAAGCATAAACTTGTTTTTCAATGCCCTCCAAAATTAAAATAATAGCTATCTTAGCATTCTGTTGGACATTATTAGCTGTCACTGTTGTTAGTTGCCACTGTGTCAAGTACAACCCACAGCAAACCTATGAACAAGAGATCTGACTCCTGTACCATTCACACCCTTCCTGACACATCAGAGCCTATTGCAGCAGTTACCATGTCAATCCACCTGGTCAGGGGTCTTCCTTCCCTCCGTGAACTCTCCACCTTTCTGAGCTTCATGTCCCTCCCCAAAGAACAGCCCTGCCTAGCAACATGCCCAAAGTATGTGAAACGAAGCCTCATCATCTTTGCCTCTGAAGAGCACTCCAGCTACACCCTCTCTAAGACCTATTTGCTTATTCTCCTGGCCATCCATGAGATGTTCAACACATTTCTCCAACACCATAGCTCAAAGGCATCAATTCTTCTTCTGTCATTCTTATTCACTGTCCAGCTCTCAGATGCATAGCAAGTGATCAGAAATACTACGGCCTCAATCAGATGTACTTTGGGCCTGAAACTGTCATTATTATTCCACAATAATTTGGAGAGGTCTCTAACTACAGACTTTCCCAGTGCAATACATCTCCTGCTGGTACCAGGAGTATTAATTGTAGATCCCAGTAAGATGAAGTTGTTGACCCTTTCAATCTTTTATCCATCTACCCTGATGCTGCTGATAGATCCAGTGGTAACAATCAAATTATTCAAGAAGCTGGATTCTATGAAGAGAAAGGTGGAATCAGGATCGGAAAGAGACTCATCAATAACCTGCGCTATGCAAATGACACAACCTTGCTTGCTCAAAGTGAGGACTTGAAGCACTTGTTGCAAAAGATCAAAGAATATAACTTTAAATATGGATTGCATCTCAGTGTCAAGAAAACAAAGATTCTTACCACTGGACATTATTAGTAAGTGAAAGTAATACATGAAAAAAAAACACAACACCCCAAACAAATCACAAAACAGTCTTTTCTGTTGCCCTTAATTGCTCCAGGACAAAGTGAGTATTTACAAATCCTTGCTTGAGTCCACAGTTTGTACATCAAGGTTAATTCTCCAGCTAACTTTAAGTACTTATAACTCATCAAGACAATCTGACAGACACAAGGGATAGAGACGAAAAGCCATGTTTTGCCTCAGAAAGTTAAATGCCTAAAACTCTTAATGAGAGAGAGAAAGAGAGAGAGCCAAGAGCGAGATCAGTTAGGAAAGGCTGTGAAATAGCATGTGCTATAAAAGTTCAGACATAAGTGCTTCTGAAGGGTCCAGCAGGTGGTGTGCAGACTTACACTCCGGACAGATCCTCCTGGCCTCTACCTGAAATGAAAACTTCCCTCTGAAGTCATTGTTGTTATATATTGTCAAGTTGGAACTGACCCATAGCTGATCCTCCAGAGGGTTTCCAGAGGCTATTAATCACATAGTAAGAGACTGATCATCTTTCTGTAAATCTCCTTCACAGCATCAGTGACTTCCACTGCAAAAGTCCCAATTCCTTAGCAACTCATTCCAAGTGGTCACTGAAATATGACCACAGCTTACCTTCACACAAGCCGCCAAACACCAAACTCACCTCCATTAACCATCAGGTTTGTTTCTCACTACTGTACACCTGTATCCGAAGCAGCAATCAAAGCACTATATGTGAGTTCTTTAGTCTTTTAGGTTTCTGAGGCTCGTGGTGTGGCCCACCCATTGCTCTTTAACATACATACAATATTTAATCTGCTGAGCCCCAAAAGCAATCTTGTTTACCTAAACACAGTTTATCCTTCAGGACTGGCTCAATCTTTACCCCCTCTACAATGTCCTTGGCTCTTTTTTCTCCAGTGATCTTAACCAACATTTTTATTTCCCCATCATTTTAAAAAGCCATCTCTCCTATCATCCTCATCAATACCTTCAAGCTAAGTTCCTTGAAAGCAGGGACCAGTTTCTTCCCCATCATAAAGCATTGTAAGCATGCATTCAAGACTTCCTGAGTTTGACTTGTAATATAAAACATAAGTTAAGGGCTAGAGCTCAAACACTGTGCAAGGTACAAAATTCCCTTCTGTTATCCAAGGGAATCATGTCTCTGAGTAGTCTGTGAGCTTCTCAATACACAGACGCTGTGACATTTATTTTGACTGCTTGGAAGCCAACTAACTTCTGGTTCTCAGCTGCACTGTGAAAATATGAGGTTGCCAGAGAAGTGAAATGCAGACAGTAGTAATATTAAATACAGTCCTATTAAAACCAAGCAAAGTGCATTGACTCGCGACCTATTACAAACCTATACTTAATATTTTCTCATCACACTAGGCAGTCCTTTTCCCCTACTTCAGTGTATTGAGTTGAACTAGTTAATAATTAACTGCCTTTGATTTAGTTCCCTTTTCATAAAGAGTAACTGTGAAGTAACATAAATGATATTTAAGAAAAACAGGCACCTCTGTGATTCTTAGATTTGGGGTGATGATCCCAGGATAATAAACAGGAACCCTTAGGAATGAATGCCTGCAGTCTACTCTCCCTGAAAAGATCTGACTACAGACCTGCAGTCTCATATTCAGATGTGTTTCTCCCAGCCTTAGCTTTTTATGACCTGTCTCATATGCAAAGGCCTTTATTTAAAGCATTACATTAAAAAATCATGCTTTTACAATGACCCAAACCATGGTTTGCTCCAAGCACAACAAAGCCGGACTTACTGCCATTGTCGTCAGAATCCTCACTGCTGCTGGGAAGGCGACCTCGTTTCATGATCTCCCCGGGAAACAGCAGGCAGCCTGCAAAGCAATGAGACAGCACTTAACCCAAGATGATAATACACAATCATCAAGTTGTGCTTCAGATGGCAGTCCAGGATTTACAGCACACAAAAGCAAATAAACGGCTTCATGCGGCTTTTCAATTGTACACAGGAAAAAGACCAAAGACACATAATTAGGTGCAATCATTAACAGAGCAGGTTAAAAAACACGAGAGGGTAGGAGAAAGCAGTCACGTATTAGTAAGTCTTCCCAAAGGTGCCAGGTTTCTCTCTGTATTCCTGACCGTATTACTACAACTACTCTAAGGAGTCTCTTTAGCTGACTGGCAGCAAACACTGCAGAAAAAATCACCAGCAATGAATACTATGCTTCCTCACTAGACAGATTCATATTTTACATGAGGGAGGGCGTCGCTGTGCCTGAATGTGTGAACAGTTAAACTGCTCTGGGCATGATTCTGCTTCTCAAAAAATTTGCTGAAAAACTCCTAAAAGTCAAATAATCTAGAATTGTGGGAACTAAACAAAACAGAGCAATGGTAATACAAATGTCTCCTTCTCTAGCATCTCCAATTACCCGTTAATTCACAGCTGGAACTTAACTTTAACTGTGGTTGTTATGTATCATTAAGTCAGAGGCAACCCTCCCATCCAAGCTGATCCTTCAGCAGGTTTTCAAAGGCAGTTAATCACAGAGGAGATTGCCCACCTTTCTCCCACGGAGCAGCTGATGGATTCAAACTCTATGCCTTTGGGTTAGCAGCACAGCTCCTTACTACTAGGCCATTAAGAGCTCCCTTCACTTTGACTGTATTACAAAATCCTAAAACAGGATGGAATAAGACACCTTATAACACTGATTCAGATATTTTCTTTTCTCAGTTGAAAACTGAAAGGGGAAAAAAATTAAGCACACACTTGCTCAAGATCATATTGTAGACAATCTCTAAATCCATATGCAATGCTTGTTTCTACTATACTTCATCCTAACTCCTTTCAGGAGAGGTACAAGCAGTTGCAGCAAGTTAAGAAGTTAATTTGTACAGATCCCAGCCCTCCTTGCCTACTCCCTTCCTGGTAGTTGGTGGGAACAGGATTCCCTATCACCACTGAGCAAGAGAAAGCTTGTATTTAGGAAACGGCAATGGACAGAGATTCAATGGCCAATCACTGAGCTTAGGGTTAACCCGTGATAATATTCACAAAGAGCAGCTCTCAAACAAGACCAAACAGCTTTCCCAAACTAGAAGTACTGATCACCTTGACATCCCACAGGGCCCTGATCCTAGTGCAAGAACCAAAATTCTCAATAAAGGAGGACTTTTTTCAAATCAGAAAGTGAAGATATTTCTCAGCATCCATCCTCCTTAAAGTACACCTATTTCCCCCCTCACTGAGCCTGTCTACATGTTAAAGTATGTCTCCAGTGGGAATGTGGCACAAAGGAAGGGGGGGATTATGTAAACAACCACTGTACTAGAACAAAGCAACTGGGGGAGTGGGGAAGAAAAATCAATGTTCCACTCTAAATGAGCCTACAAAACAGTAATTAAACAGAAAATGCACTGTACAATGCAGTCTGTTCCCACTTCTAAGACAGACTCATAATTCATTCAAATATTCAGACCACCAATTGTTTGTCAGTGGAAGCCTGTGTATTTATTAATTATCTATTACTATAGCTAGGAAGACTGATAATATACTTCAGAAAATCACCATGAGTCCTAAGTGACTAGCAAGTTGCTAACTTGCTAAGAGTGTACAATTCTGTAATTTTATATTTTATAACTGAGAAAAATCACCCAGTTAAAAAACTGGTGAATTTTCTTTTCCCAGCTCACTCCTCAAAAACCATCTAAAACTTTATGAAAAAGGGAAAGTGAATCTGAGTTACAAGGTAGCTTAAAGACATACCTGGTGACCTGGAATTTTGTTCCTTGTCCTATAACCCACCCAACCTCCACTCAGTGAGCCCCCAACATCAACCCTCTTCTATACCTGAGGAAGCCCCTTTCCATTCATAAGTTTCCATGGCTGACAAACACTAGTGGCCACTTCCCATCTGAAATGGCTGGGTTTTCTGCCATGTCAAACAATAGTAAAACACCAACAGCTAATAACCAAACTCTCTTCATTTTAAAGAGGGCACCTGCTCCTCTCTGAACCCCTTAGGAGATTCAAGGTACAATGAGGAAAGGTAAAGGCAAAATACCACTCATTTATCGTTTTCATGTTTCAAGTCTATACCATGGGGGAAAAATGAATAATAACAATAACAGGAAGTGTTACTAAAGAGCAATTCCTTAAAAGTGTGATGTAACACAGTAAGAAAAATGTATTTTGCCACTTCCTGAGCTGATGTGACAACTACACAGAATAAAAGACAGAAAACTCAAAGAACAAGGAAAAATGCTATTACATCTTCATTGATTCGGACAACTTAAATTTATCTAAATAGAATAGCTTAGAAAACTTGAATCTTTTTGAATCAAGTGCCTTCTTACCAGCTCTCAAATACAACTCCCCGAGAAAATATTAACAATCAAATGAAAAATGCAATGCTGGCCAAAAACACAATGATGCTCCCAAATACACATGTTCTCTCAAGCAAAATTATACAAGTAAAAATAGTATTTTCCTCATAATGAATTCCATTTTCATCTGTTCTGAAAGATCTTGAATAATGAAGGTTGAGTACCATACACTGTAGTTTCCTTCTCCAGGGAACCTGCACAGTAATGGGGGTAAATGCAAGGCAGAATTTCCTCCTCTGTGGCTCTAATGTACTTAAACCTTGACATCAGGCTGATTTATCTCACCCAGGGCTACTTACTGTATCAGGAAATAAAAATGCATGCTACTATCTATAAGGTACACAGGGCAGTGGTTGTGAACTACAAACACCTGTCCACTAAAAGTCAACTAGAAAGCAGATACCATGCTGCATCATTTCCTTTTCTCTTTCAGAGGAATGGATGGTTATTACCTAGCTGGGGCAGGACAAATAATCAGTTAAAGGGCTATTCACAATACTCTAAAGAAAGCATAACTCCCAATAATATATTCCCACGAGTGTTTGAACACCTATTATATTAGGAAGAGCTAGGAAAAAAAAATAGTATTCCCAATCTAAAGGAAAGGGAGCTCTACCGCAATCCCAAATGCCCACAGTTCGAATCCACCAGCTGCTCTGTGGGAAAAGGATGGGCAATCTCCTCCCACTGATATACTATCTCTGACAACTGGTTTGAGAGTCAGCTGTGGGTCCATTGCAACTCAGTGCCACACAGCAACAGCAATCTAGAGGAACATATGGTACAGTTGGCCAACAAGTTCAGTGGTGGAGCCTTTTTTTCCCCATTTTTTTCAATTAATTTTAATCAAAGTTTACAGAGACTTTGGATTTCCATTCATTTATTGCTTTACTTTTCTCCCTGCTCAACACCCACCCCAGTTTGCTCCTCTTTGAAAAGTAAAATTCTTTCACTGTTAGACAATCCCTCCCACGTCCACTCCACTATGCAGCCTTCGTTCTGCACTTGTCACAACAAAAATACCTAATCATATATCCCTTTTAAATAGTTCTCTCCCTCATCTGTTTCAATGCAGTATATGTAATTTATCCCATCTTTCTCAGTCTCCCCCAAAGCCCAATGTCAGTTTTACTATACTATTCAGTATTTGTCCTTTTGTGACTGAGATATTTCAGTAAGCATAATGTCCTCCAGTGTCACCCATTTTGTATATTTCATGAAGTTCCTTGTTTTTCAATGCAGCATAGTATTCTATTGTGTAAATATACCACAGCTTCTCTATCCATTCGTTTGTTGATGGGCATTTAGGTTGTTTCCAACGCCTTGCTATTGTGAACAAAGCCGGGATAAACATGGGTGTGCATATATCTTATCTACTTGGGTGGCAATTATGGTTTCTTTGGGATATATTCCCAGTAGTGGAAATGCTGGGTCAAATGGTATTTCTATTTGCAACTTTTTGAGACCGCATCATACTGCCTTCCATAGTGGTTGCACCATTTTACACTCCCATCAACAGTGAATAAGGGTTCCAGTTTCTCCACAACCTTGCCAGCATTTGTTATGGAGCCTGACTTTTTTCTCTCCTTTTAAAAAAATTTATTATTAATTTAAGTACAAATTTACAGAAACTTTGGATTTCCATTCATTTACTGTTACACTTTTCTCCCCTCCCAACCCTCCCCCCTAGTACTCTAACCTCTTGGAAGAGTAAAAGACAAATTCTTTCACTGTTTTGCAAACCCTCCCCCAGGTCCACTCCACCATGTAGCGATCGCTCTAGACTCCTGTCGTGACAAAAATACCTAATCACTTATCCCTTTTAAAGTTTTCTCTCTCATCTGTTTCAATGCAGTATACATTCTTGAACGCATATTTCTCAGTCTCTCCCCAACCCCAAGGTCAGTCCTGTTTTACAACAGTGGCACCATGCAGTATTTGTCCTTTTGTGACTGAGATACTTCACACAGCATAATGTCCCCCACAGTCACCCATTTTGAATAATACTGCATGAGTTCCTTGTTTCTCTAGCCATTCGTTTGTTGATAGGCACTTCGGTTGTTTCCGGCTCCTTGCTATTGTGAACAAAGCTGCGATAAACATGGGTGTGCGTTATGTGCTTGGATGTCAATTATGGTCTCTTTGGAGTATATTCCCAGTAGTGGAATTGCTGGGTCAAATGGTATCTCTATTTGTAACATTTTTGAGAAAGTACCATACTGCCTTCCACCTGATTGCACCAGGAGCCTGACTCTTAAGAGGCTGTGGGCTGTCAGTGCTCCTGTGGCTTCTTAACTGGAACACTAGCAGTTCAAACCTATCAAAAGACACCCTGGAAACCTGTCAAATAACCAAGCAAGCCAATAAAGCAGAATTCTATTCTAACACAGGGAAGGTGGCAAGAGTTGGATTCAACTTAATGACAATGGGCTGGTTTTATTTTGGAGTACCCACTGACCATGAGAAACATAACAGTTGTTGT